AGGAGGACGATGAAGTAAATCGATTCACGTTTGGCCAAACCCAGACGCACGGAATACGACCTCGGCTGTCCATCGCTCGCCGCGAAAACGAAGAAGTCTTGACGATCGAGCTGGAACCGCGAAATCTCATCGGCCTCGAATCGCAAAGAGTCGAAAATGCGCTCTTGCTCCTGCCTGCCGAAGATGGGAGGTAGGTAGACGGGGTCCTTTCTTGTTCGCTCCTCTTGTATCTGCCGTTGGTGGCTCTGAAGCTTCTCGCGCTCAGTGGGCGCCACAATGTCGAAGAGAGAGCGGCCTCTGACGTTGGGAATTCCGACGGCATCAGAAAAAGCCGGCGAAGCACGCGCAATTTCCAGCTCTGTCGTCAAGAAGATGACTGGCTCGGGCGCCCCAGACGCGAGAGACGGGGGCTGGCCGTACAGGTTCGCGTCGCCCATGGGAGCTCTGTCCAGATACCGAGGCGCAATGGGTTCGCTTGGTTGAGACTTTAGAACGCGATAGGAGTGACTGCCTCGGATGGGGTCATCGTACCCTGAGATGGGAGTGCCAGCTGAGTAGTGGCTCAGCGGCGGTCTCCTTGCTGCCGCGGCGGCGGCTGCGGCATCCTGAGGATGCTGATATGTCGAGGGGCCATAGCGGGCTTCTCGGTCGTCTCTCAGCCGCGGGCGGCCACGCTTCTTGTGTTGCACATCAACGCAGGCGTCTTCCTTGCCGTTGCTTGTGCATCTCGAACAGGGCCGCTGAGCTATTTGTCGCAAGCGCACGTCAGCGAAACTGTCATCCGGTTGTGGTGTTCTCTCTCCACACGCTAAAGAGCAAAAAGAAAACACGCAAGCGCACGATCCAAAGCTGTTGCAAGTGCAAAAGCCGCACCTCCACAACCATCCACCACAAGTCAAGCAAAAAAGCTTACATGACGTCTTCCAACGGGCACTTGCTCGTCAGTCGCTTGGTTGCTTTTCCCACCCCATCCGCTCACCAGCTGCCATGCGTCGCATCCGACACGTCAATGACACGCTAGTTCTGTCCACTTGGATCATCCCGCGACCAGACCAGACGGAGCAGCGATCGACCAGCCAAGTCCACCCAGAAAAAAGCTCTCGCGCAAGGGAAAATCGCCTCCGCTTTCTGTTTCAGAAATGGCACAATCGATAGCAACCACACCCGGTCCAACGGCACGCGATTGGCGAGTTCACCGCATCCCTAACCGTAATCAAGATTCGAGGGTCGCTCCCGGGGGTGCCGGCTGTTACCCGCCAATCTTCCCAAAATGCCGGGCCGACATTCCGGGGCGAACGGGTCCAGGAACCAGACGGCGCAAGAACCGGTAGTGGTTCGCCGATTGTATGGTTGTGAGAATGAGAGACGCTGGAGGAGCTGAGATGGCCGGCGCGGAAGTCCGGCCAAGAAAGACCAATGCTCTCTCTGCTGGGGTTGACGCCAGTCCAGTTGGGCCACACGGACACCCGCTCAACCCAAGTAAGACTTGGTTGACAGCCTTTGACGGCATGCGCCATCCCATTCAACACAACCATCTCAACTCTCCGTCCGAGTTTCTGCGAATGATCCTCCCAGGCGGGATCGTCTTCCCCTCAGCACCGGTCTCAGGTCCAGGGGTTGATCCCTGCGCTGCTTCGAGTGTCGCACGCACGTACGCCTTGCTAGGTTAATGCCGCGTCCAGATTCACTCTCGGAGCCTCTTGACCGGTCATGATGTCAAGTATTGTTCCCCCCAAAGATTTGGAGCCGCATGCGCCCGGAGGCTGCAGTGCTGGTTCCTTGCAGTCCGCGGGAGTTTCCTCTTTTGGTCGATCCCCCAGTCGGAAAGGACAATGCAAAAATGACAACCTAAAGAAAGCAAACGCAAAAGGAGAGAAAAAAAAACCAAAAATCAAAAATAGGCTAGCTAGCAAGCCAGTTCGTACGTACCGTCGCATCTAGACTAAATGTCAGCGTCACCGTATCGAGATACCACTTCCGCCCGTTTCACTTGGGATATCTACAGGGAGATTGGTAACCTACCGAAGATGGGCTCGTTTACATGGCACACAGGCTGATGCCACATGGCCCTTTGTCTTTCTTTGCGTCTTGGGAGACGTATAGGGACCGCTGTCCTGGGATGTCTGCGACATGGTTGTCGCGTAGCCATGCTGATGAGGCCCTGTTGGCTGTGGCGGCGGTGGCCCAGACATTTGCATGTAGGGCGGAGGAGGCCGCTGCTGCATGACTTGGCTTGCCAGATGTGCGTATCCTGAAGGCGTAGTCCGCAGGTGGTCGTCGGGTCGAGGGTATGAGTAAGGCATCCTGTCTTGCGGATCGGCGTGATATGATCGAGGCTGAGGTGGCGGCAAGGAATGCGGCGGAGGCGGAGGTCCTCGGTAGTCGCCTTGCGGTATCGTCGTTGGCGGCAGTCCTCCCCGGTAGGCATTTTGCGGACTGGTGGACGGATAGCTGCCATGCAGTTGCCCTCGGTCACCAGCCTCTGGATTTGGCTTGGGCGGGAGAGGAGGAGACCCTGACATGGGCGGGGAAGGATATGCTCTGGGTCGAGCAGGAGTCTCGGACTCTGCTCTTGTTGGCGTTGCCCAGGTCAGGTCGAGGGCGAATCGCGCCAGATCGGAAATGCCTCGGCGCTGGCCGAACGAGGTAGACGACGTATCGCAATCGCTACTTATGGCTTGCATGGATGTTGTGATGCAGCTTCAACAGGCACTCGGGTCGAGAGCTTCCCACGCCTTCTTTTAGACGACGCCTCGTTTCCCAGAATGTTGCGAAAGGCCGGAACTATTGCGTAGACGCTGCCGGTGCGTTGTATGCTGTTGACGATATCCGTGTCGCTCTTTTGCGTGCGCCGGGCCCAAATTAAATCACCCTTCTTTTTTCAAGGGATGTTGTACTCTGTGGCTCCTTTCGAATGATGCCTTTTCCTCTTGATCGAATCAGTTGAATTCCTCCTCTTGTCCACTCAGTCTCGAAACACCGGTTCCGATGGGGAGAAGAAAGCTCTTTCGTGGTTTCTGCAGAAATACTCGATATGGCGAATAGCAAAAGTCTGAACCAGCGGGTATTTCAAAGACAGTGCAAGCTCGCGAGCGTTCTTTAGTCACTCAACCGGGCGTTCGTGCTAGGTGTGAGAGTCGCAAGAGAAGACCGATTCAGCTATGCTAGGAAAGCAGGCCAGGAATGAGAATATGCAGCGCCCGATGCTGTAAGACGATGAGGCTGCTGTAGCAGGAAGCCCGCACAATGATCCTCCAAGCTCCAATGAAGCTCCTTGCGGCGTTGCTGGCGGGTCGTCGAGCGCGATGCTGATGCGGGCAGTTGCAGGAGGTACCACGACAGAACCTCAGGCACGGGATGCGGAGATGGATGGCTGGATACCTGCGTACCGGCGACCTGTCTTTGGGTACGGATGTATAAGTGATGGAATAAGAGAAAAAGAGAAGGGCGGAAGTAGAGAAAAGGGAGGAAGACGATGTAGATCTAGTCTACCCCTAGCCTCTTTTTGTCTCTCCGATTCTCTCTCCTCTCGGCGGCCGGAATAAAGCAGCGTTATTTCTCGAGGGCTGGATACGTTGGAGAGAAGGACCCATAGGCTTTTTTTTTTTGGGAGCAGTCGATCGGTGGCTCCCGGTCGGTTTTTGTGTGACTGGAGGCAGGCTTGCTAGACCTACGAGGGGAGGGGGCAATTGAGATGAAGCTAGGGTGTGGTTCAGGGTTGATCTGGTCGAGGGAAAGGTAGGCCAGGGAACACCCTGGTCGACGTCTTTAGAGTGGCTGCTAATCAAGGGTAGAGGGCTATGCCATCACGATCCCCTGTTCAACGACAATTCTCCGCGCGTCTGTGTGTGAGAGGTGTGTGTGAGTGTGTGCAGGTTGGGATGAGGTAAGGTACGATGCTTTCTGCGACGTATGCGTCTTGAGTGTGAGAGAACGTGAGGGGGGGCGTGTAGGAGAAAAAGGACAGAGTGAGAGAGTCTGAGGGAGTGAGTATGTGTGTGTGTGAAAGAGAGAGATAGATAGAGAGGGAAGAAAAATCATAGACTGGCAGCATTGCCAGCCGTGGGCAGCAAAAACAGAGAACCAGTAACTTGAAGCAGTCAGTACGGTGGCCAGGGAGGAGATGATAATATTGGTTGACGGTAGCGATGGCGATAGTAGCGCTGGGTCTGAGGGTTCCCGCATGAGATTAAACCAGGCACGTATGAAGCCACAACGTAATAAGACAGTGGGGGAGACAAGAGTCAGTTGGGTCACAGTCCAGTGAAAGGTGAGTGAAGGAAGAGACGCGGACACGGGACGGGGCCGCGGGCGTGGCCAAGGCCAGAGAAAGTTAGCGAGACTATCCGCAGAGAGCGAAAGACAGAGAGGGACCGGAGAAATAAGATGCAATAATAATTTACGGTGGAAATCAAAAGGGCTTCATTGCGTCTGCAGGCTCTCCCTCACTGTGTCTCTTCCCGACCGCAGTATTCACTTTTGCAACTTTAGCAGTGAGGGCCAGTATGCAGCGTGCAAAGTACCAAATTTGATTGGGGATGCGAAGGAGGGATGGTTCAGGTGAGAGTGGACAGGGAGGGGTGGACGTTGTCTCGAATGTCGGGGCCGGTAGCAGATGGCAGATGGCAGGATGGGTATTACAATGTAGCCGGGAGCCAGGAAGGAGGAAAAGAAGACTGACTGGTGGATGCGGATGGGGGATGGATGGGATGGGACGAATTTCGTACAAGGATAAGATGGGATGGATGGGTGGAGGGTACGGATACCTAGGCGAGGATGTATGTACAAACTTCGTAGATGGAGGGGGGGGGGGGGGGGGGGGGAAGGAAGGGGGGGGGGGGGGGGTGGGAGGGGGGAGGAGGGGGTGGGGGGGGGGGGGGGGAGGGAGGGGGGGGGGGGTGGGAGGGGGGAGGGGGGGGGGGGGGGGGGGGGGGGGGGGGGAGGAGACAGACCAACACCCGGGGGGTAACTCTCCAAGTCAAGGTATATGTACGGATACACTAGAAAGGGCAGAGACCAAGCCAGGATGAAGACAGGCAGCGGGAGAGAGTGGAGGAACTGTAAGATTGACTTGATATCGATGGTATTGAAGAGAGCGAGCTTGGAGGGGTGTGGAAGCGGCAGAGAGTGGGGAAAGAGAGCATTGAATCTGCGAAAGAAAAGAAGCAAGCAATGAGCCAGGAGAGTAAGTATGCGTACGGATAGAATACACAGTAAGATAGGTAATGCAGACGTTGAAAAGGATGATCGATCTTCCTGTGCTAATTGACTTTGATCTCTCGAGTACCTTGCAGATGGAAGAAGTGTAGCTTACCCAGGCACGCACGCCAGGACAAAGAACATGGACAACATGTTAACAACCCATGTGGCCGTGGTATGCTGTGGCTCTCATTCGGAGATGTAGGTAAGCCAGGACGAGACGAGACCGTTCGAGCCAGGTATATCGGAGTACGTACTGACGGAACGCATGGCAACGCTCGAGCCACCGTTGTAATCGCTGCACATAGGTTTGCGGCGGTGGCTGCTGATGCTCGTGGTTATGATGCCGGTGGTGATGGTGGTGGTGTCGGTAGCCCAGGGTCCAGGGGGTAAGGTAGCGGTAGGTAGGTAGGCACGTAAGTAGGGGGGAGGGGAGACAGATGAGCGGACGTGGGTGCGTGGAACTGGGTGAGGGATATGGGGGGAAGAAGAGGAAAAGACACAACGAGGAACGAGCTAGGGGTGGGAGGGTGTGAATGCAGCAATGTAGACGGGGTCGAAAGAAGGTTATGGGATATGTGGAGAGGCGAGCGGAGGGATCGACCTGCGAGCGCAATAGAGAGATGAGATGACGGGTCTGAGATGGTGGTATTGAATGGGACACTGTTTAACTCCATCGTTTTGCATTACTAGAGGATTGCCGCAGTACATATAGACGCTACCCTGCCCTCGAATTCCGTACTATTTAACCTTAACCCTTTTTATAAGTCTCCTATCCTTTCCTCTATTCTACCCTCTCCCTCGTTAAGGGATCGCTAGAATCATAGTTTTAATAGCTTATTAATAAGCTAATATTACTATTTAAAAATAAGTAACTTATTTTTATATATAAGTACTAGGAGTTTTATTATTACGGAAATAGCAGTAGATATACTAAAATATTTAAAAAAGCTTTTTAATAGACTTTTAATACTATTTAAAGTAATTATTTTTAAATTATAAAAAGAAGCCGAGGTATTATATTAATATAGCCCTATTTATCTTATTAGTATTAATAATACTCTTTTTAGCATAAGATATATTAATAATACTCTATAACTACGTTATTACGCTTTATAAATTATACTTAATAATAATAAGGATTCTAATATTTTTCTTTAGGTCTTTTATTAAAGTTATTATCATAGGGTTAGTTTAGTTATTAATATCTTAATAAGCATTTTAACTTAACTTAGAGGCTCTTATAGCTCTTAATAAGAGGCTTTTAAAAGATTTATAACTAAACTTTTTACTTATTACGGGCGAAGCTATTATAATTAAAGCTATAGTAATTAAAGCTATAGTACTACTTATAAACCTTAATAATAAGTAATTAGTAATATAGTTATTTTTTTCTTATAGTAAGCTTAAAAAAGTATTTTAATTTAAGTACTAAGTGGGTACTATACTGTTTTATTAAAACTATATTCTTATACTTGTGACTTAGAAAGAATTAACTTTCTTCGATAACAAGGTACTTAGGTATTGAATGGGAAAAGACGTACGCGTAGCCACGCACGACGAGATAGCCGTGGCACAACAAACCATGATAGGGGATATACGTAAGAGTTCTGGTGCTCATCAGATGTTGCAACTTGCGAGGCCGCTGGGGGAGGAGACTGGAGTTGACTGGAAAGAGAGGAAGTATCCGTATCCGTAACCACGCCTTGAATGGCGAGGTAAGGGAACCTGCCATCCCATCCTCGTCAGCTACACTACAATGCTACTACCCTTGGGTACCTTACCATTGGCATGGGGCAAGGACCACGGTATCCGTACGTGAGGTGCCGCCCTCGGAGACCGCTGCAGGGCAAGGTATGTCGGACGACGGGTAAGAAGGCAACTCACTGTGGTATCCGAACGGAGTACCAAGTAATAGCGTACGAATATTGGTAGGTAGGTGAAGGAAGGCAAGGATACCGAACATGCTGATGCTTGAGGGATGGGATGCGGCTATGGCAGCGTGACAGCGGAAGGAGAAAAGGTGACAGGGCGCCTTCTGGTCCCCCATCCATCCATCCATCCATCCATCCATCCATCCATCCATCCACGTTCGTTCTCTCCGAGCTTGGCTTGTCCTGGTCCCATTTCCTTTGTGAGTCGTTCCTGTACGTAGTATGGTTCTGCCATGCCCTGTCCTGTGCTGTGCCGTCCGATGTATTATCCGTCCGCGTCCGAGCCCTGGCCTGTCATCATCCTTGAGCGGCTCGAGGCACGTCCGTCCTCCTGCGCGTCTGTCTCGGATGGTCCTCTGAAGTGTCGATACGATGAGAGACATGATTAAGGTATCCGTGGACTGGGCAGGGAGGATGTCTTACAGTCTTAGCGGCCACTAGGTGGCACCTCTCTAAAGACACACGGCACGTTGCGCCCTAGCGCTGCGCCAGCGAAACGGAGACGGATGTATGTAGTCATGTACTACGCACCTAGACTGTGGGTGCGGATGCGGATGCGGGTGTCGATACCTAACTAAAGCACGGGTAGCTCAACGAGCACATCAATACCTACGTTAGCTAGGCCGAGGCCTGTCCTCGATCTGGACGAGCTCTGATGTCCTGGCGAGATACTAAGTTGTCACTGCACACAAGCTCAGCTAGGTCGGCATCAGTGTAGGATCTGTGCCTCGCCTCATTTCGGGCTCTCCACACAGCAAAGCCCATGAATCCACGGTGCACTGTGGCGTAGATGCAGTGTCGTCAGTCTCCGGCGGATATTTGATCGGTGCTCGTGCAATTTTGCCGTAACCCATGGCTTCGTAGGTTCGCCAAAATATCCAACTCGGTATTCTTACGGATACAGATCCCGTTGCATTCGTGTTGCTCAGCCGGTCAGAAAAGCAAAGACATCAGCAACGATTTCGTAGGGACGTTGTCTAGGAATCTCGGGGCTCGAGTGAAGTAATCGCCACGTCCAATTCTCTCTTTCAGCCGCCTTCCATGGGTGGCCCTTCTTCAGCGCGGCCGTTCTCCAAATGAAACTCTACCTGCCCCAGGGTACCCATTCTGTGGCTGACGGCCAGGCCGGCCGGGCAGGGCGAGCTGACTTTGACGGGGGCAGAAGGCTGAGATGGGGATGCAACTGGAGAATGAGAATGAGATGGAGCTAGAAGCCACTTCGTGATACCTAGCGACCTAGCTTATAGGCAAGCCGGGTTGAAGGGTCTTGGAAGTCGAGGGTCAACGCTGCTAGTGGAAGGGTGGGCAAGACGTTGTTGGCATGGACCAGGTGTGCTCGTAGACGGGCGGCTGTGAGTGAGTAACCTTGAAGAGCCAGCTGTCACCGTTACTCTCCACCAACCATCCACCTTGGGCTTGGGCTCCTAGCTCCTAGCTCCTAGTTCTTAGCTCGCCGATTGACGTGCGGCCGTGAGTAGTGCGCGCGCGCGCGAGAGAGAGAGAACTTGTGTGGCTGTGGTTGTGGTCATGACCGTGGCCGTGGCCAGAAGCAGGGTCGTGCGCAGGTGAGAAGGAAATGACTTGTGGACGACAGTCTGCAGACAACCAGGATCGGGCGGCATGGTTGGATAGATCCGGCCACGATCCATCGAAAAAGAAAGCTGGGCCATTTGGTGACGGTTGAGGGTTGACCGCGGAATCCACGTCTTAATAACATAAGTTACCCATTCGTACTGAGCAACAAGTAGGGTAGCTAGACAACCTTGAGCCAACTGTTCGTCTCATTCTTGTTAGGGCAGATGCGCCAGGTATTTGCACCGTCGATATGCTTCCAGTTCGATGGGTAGAGAAAGGTGCCAGGTGTGGTCAAGATCGAAAAGGACCTCCGAGAATTTGTGTTCTCAACAATGATTGTTGTCTCGCGAGTTGCATTATGTTGGTAAACGCGGAATTGTTCCCAGCATTGCATCTTAGGACTCAGGCGTATCTATTCGTGAAATCTTCCTGTTCACTACATTAATCTCCATCATCTACACCAGAGCCTGTGGAGGAGGGAGAAGTGGTCACTCACCGGCTGGGGGTGACGAAGCTCAACCGAAGCAAAATTGCTGTGCAGCGGAGAAGACCAGACGTCACCTGCTGGATGCTGCCCTGCAGGGACAGGGAGGCACAATGTAGACATGACTTGCTCCAGGGGCGACTGAAGTGTTTCCAGAGAAGTTTCGACTACTTTGTCGGCATGGTTATTGAGTGCGGGTCGCATCAGGTCATCTCCAGTTTCCGTCCGAACTTGGTAGCAGGGATGTCAGTGAGCAGGTACGCAGACACATCAGGCCCAGGAACAGTCGAACAGGACCAATGGGCCAGAAACAGAATCAAACTCAGACTGCGGCATGGCTCCATCCCGTACAGACATCTGACAGACAGAGATCCTGGATCCGCATCCGTAGGTAGACTGATCAACTCGGTCGACCGTCCACCAAGCATGAAGTTTGAACACATACTCTCTCTCATTCTCCCCTGCTTATCCGCCGTTGACGTCGCCGAAACCCACCAGCAGCAAGCAGCACCGGGACCATGAACTCAGTCTGCAAGAGAGGCGGTAAGCCGATGAAAACCAACCATTTTTCGGTGGTAACTGGTGCCCGTCTTGTCTCTCTCGGAGCTTGAGGCTGTTGCTCCCACCGTGCCGTATTGCATACCTACCCAGCGGCCCTGTCCTGTCCTCCAATACGACTGATTGATTTGGGAGCCGCTGTACTGGTATAATACCCACAACAACCTGCTTCTTCTGCCGGTTGTTCCCCCTAGGTTTGACGAGGTCGAGGTACCCGTACGCTGCCAACACGGGCACTAGCCGTTTTGCATGCGTTACCGGTCCGAACAAGGTCATGCCTTTCAAGTCTGTTGCTGGCCCTCTGCTCGTCCATTCATCCACATAGTCGTGTGCGCTCTTCGCTTCGGAAAGGAAATCATTCTGATGGGTGCCAGGTGCGATATATCAACTGGGCCAAGGTCGCAACGGTGAACTACCAGGCCTGTCCTGGTATGTGCGCTGCCCACCCGGTTCTCGCCAAAGACACCCTCGCCGCCACCGCCTCCCCTACTCCTCAAAAGTCAACAGTCTGGCACCCTACCCTGCCTTAGTACGGCACCGGGGCTGGGGGCTTGGAGTTCACTAAGGCAGGTCGCCCGAGATGGAAGCCTCCGAAAGAACAACTCGACGTGATGATCCCCCCGCTGCCCAACCCAATAATCGTACGCCGTGGTCATCAACTTGGCATCGAACACTCCATGTTGCCTCGCAGTCGCTGGACGGGTGATGGTCTTCGTTAGTCTTTGCTCGCCACGTGAGAAAGACGTGTTTGATACTCCGTACGCAGTAAGTATTGTGAGTAAGTCGCCAGATTGGTACATGGGCCACGGACCAATCGAGTCGTGAACTTCATCGGCGTCGCTTTTTGGTCACCTACCTCTTGCATCACATCCGCAGAGAAGACCTGCCTAATAGATCCATCGTCTGCATCTCGTCCGACATGCATCGTGATTACAGAGGTACACAGCAGACCATGAAAAATGTCACTTCGGTATGCCTTTGTCAAGATGGCAATGAAGCACGCAGAGAGAAGGGGGAGTTCGCGGTATCCCTGTGTGGCTCTGATACCACTCAATACTAGCAACGTGATGCTAGATGTCGGATATGCGATTCCAATCTCCAGTCCATAGTAGCGTGGCCAAGTCGATACCGTGGCCCTGGCCTGGTGCCAATGCCACTTACCATTGAACTTGGTTGTTTTCACCCAGGAATCGTGCAGCGCCCCACGCTATGCGGGATGAGCCCAATTCGGTTTGGGAATTTTTTTTTGCATGGGAAAGGCAAAGCCCAGAGGCGGTGCTAAAGCCGTAGCAAAAGGGCCGGTCAATGTCGAGACCACACCATCAGGAAACAGTGCATCGTCAAAGCTGCTCTACTGCCGCCGCCGCGTTCGCGCTATCCTGCATCATTGGCACTCGCGGTAGCCCAAGTTATTGCTCCCGGAGTCATGTTCAACGAGAGCGGGCGAGCTGACCGTACCGCACATAAGGTAGCGTCGGTTCATTCGTAGCGTGAACGGCCCCAGCTATGTCTGAGTATGGGTGTGTGTGTGTGTGTGTGTGTGTGTGTGTGTGTGTGTGTGTGTGTGTGTTTCTGTCAACGTCAAGCCAGTGCCGCTAACCAGGGAATCGACGTGTTAGTTCTTCGATTTCTTCTGGGCCCGGCAACCCCCCTCTAAAAAGGAATGGTAAATTGCCCGCAAATGCTCATGTCGGTCTAAGTGGATGTGGCTGTCGTCCCTCATACATCTCGTCCCCATCTCCCCTCTCTCGCAGGGCCAGGGCAACCTGCGAAGTTCAGGTGGCCTTGCCACGAATCTTCTCGTGCCTTTTCTTTGCCTTGCGCCCTGTCTTGCGGCCTGCCATGTTCTGGAACCTGCCCACTTGCCCGACGCGGCTCGCCCTTCGCCTCAAGGCCGCCTCAAGGCCGCCTCGCTGATTGGCAGCCGCCGACAGAGAGCAATGGGAATCGATTCCAGCAGGCGGTCTGGCCTTGTTTGCTAGTCGTGAATGTCCTGCCACTCCTGCCTGCCTCGGTGCAGCTTTCGGCTATGCGCGGAGACCAGATGACTTCGCCTCTCCACATGGCAATCCAAGTTTTGGCCTGTGACCTGGCCACTCAGTCTCTCGAGGGCTTGATAGCCGATGGTCGAGGTTGCCGGATCCGTGCTCAACGGCCAGATGCCAAAGACTAGGCAGTCGAAAGTGCCGGCATCGCGGAAGCATTGCGATGGAGACTGTCCGTCTAAGGTTTCTTGTCCGCATAGCATCCGAGCTGCAAAATTCCAGCACAACAACTCTGAAGCGAGTTGGGGAGTTGCTTGCAAGGGTGTGGGAGCTGAGTACCGATTTCCACTACTCATGCAGAAAAACCTCAACACCACTTGGGGGCGAGACGAAGCGTCCATGCATCGGTCGTATGCAGGTTGTTCGCGTCATGCTTCCTCATGTCCTCCCGTTCGCCCAATCCTCTTGGCAACCATTGGATCAATGGGCCCCGTACGACGTATCTTTTCCAACCATCTGCGTGGCTGCCCAGGAATCGATGAAGTCAGGCATCTGTGAGCCCAGCGAGCCGTCAGATCAGTAGCCTTCTCAGAGACGTGCGACACGATTGCCCCGTCGATACTTTCGCTGAGCAGCTGTTGTTAGTGTCCTTCGAATTTTGGCCTACCTGGGGGTTGTCGCGAAAAAATTCCACCAACGAGATGCGAGCCTGGTTCTCGCGCAAGGCCCAACCCTCGGCCTGTTTCGGACGTGTTGATGTTAAAGTTCCCTCCCGAATAGGGACCCTGGCACATAGGTGCTAGAAAGAATGACCGTTGAGATTCGTACGGGGTAGGCAACACTTGATAATTCACAGCTTGCTGGCTTTGATTGCGGCATACCTCTCTGAGACCGTAGTCCGAGAAGAACCTTGATTCGTGCCGCTAGCAAGTCTTCCTGCCATCGTTACTCTACACCGGCGCATTGCATACTGTAGGGCTCGGTCAGTGACAGTATGATCAACTTAACTGCCGTCCCTGGTCCAACTCTGGGAAACCTTGTGGACATCGTTCCGGCTGTGTGAGGGATCGGTCTATGTCTTCCATGCCACGCAGAATGGCTTATTCGGGTTCGTATAGTGTGCATCTATCTCCCCTTTTCCCGGCCGTTCATCTGAAGGTGTCTAATTGCTTCTCTCATTGCCATTGTGGTCGTCGCCATCGTCATAACCTTGCCTTGGTACATATTCGTAATACACGAGCCCTCAGTATCGGCAAAGTGTATCTGTACTGAACAATTAGAAACCCGTTCTTCGGTGAGACGAAGTCCATGCAGTTGAACAAGATTGGCTTCATTCGAGGAACGAAGGTCGGCCAGGAATCCATGCGGCTCGGCTTTTTTGCCTGCTTCTACGCACACGCAGAACACCGGCAGCCAGGCCAATATGGAGCCGGTGAGGTCACTCACTATTAGGTTGCATCTTGTTAGTGGACGACTGAGCCACACTGAAAGGTGTGTCAAGTCGATATGGAGTCATTTGCTCACCCAGAAGGTGCCCGTAACTGATTCGGGATATTTACTCTCACCACCGTGGTTCTTTGGGATGCTAGAATATAGACGAGCCTCGTTCTCCTCTTCCTTCTCATCCATAGACGAGATGTCCTAGCACAGGGAATTCGGACGTCTGGATCCGGCCTTGGTGCTCACCGAGCTTCACTTGGGGCAAGGTAGGAATGCCGATCTGTAGGGCTCTCGGCTGGCATCTGCGTCCCATTGTCAACACAGGCGCTAGGTTGGCCCTGGTCGGTCGGCTGCCGCACACGCCGCAGGTGGTCTATTCCATCCTGACCCCGGTCCGTATGCCTCCCTGGGTTTACGTAGTAAGGTCCCCTTCTTCGTCTGATGGTCCAGTCGGAAGCCCTGGTCATGCCAAGCCGCGCCTGGATCATCGAGGTCGGTCGCTTATAGCTCGAAGTCGATGGCCGGGAAACTATCCGTACCTTTGAGGCGGCACCAGCCGGAATCCGGAAGCACAAAGGTATTGATTCCACGGGCCGGCAAGCTTACTACAGACAGCTATCCGTACGAA